CAGTCGCGCTATAACAAACGCTATAATTCACAACGAACGTCTCACGTGCTCGACTCAAATGTCAATTACACATTACATTGTTGCCGCCAGTTCTTACCGGTCTTATATATACAACACTACCGCATATCTAGTAGCCTCCTGAGGCTTCAGGAATGTTCTAGAAGCGCGTGACGTGTTACTAGCGTCACGAGACCTTCGCTGTCGTAACAGTATTGTAACATTTTTCTCTCTCTCTGAAAAGCTGATATAAGTTTGATGTTCAGATTCAATGATGTCTGACAGAAAAGCTTAAAGTTTCCGCAAAAAAAACAAAAACAACAGCACAAATTCAGGAATAAATTGAACGCGCACAATAAGTGTGGTTTGAAACATAAAATGTTTTACAGAAAACAGTCACAATAGAATGTTATGTTCCCAAAACTGCCCAGGCTACTTCTTTTGTTTCACTATCTTCTAGCTAGAATGGCGCGCTTGATACAAGCAGATTAAATAAGTGCTTAGGACATTTAGCGGCTCGGCCCGGTGGTTAGGGTGCTTGAATCGCAATCTGAGGGTCACGGGTTCGAATATCCGTCCCACCAAACATGCTCGCCCTTTCAGCCGTGGGGACATTATTAAGTTACGGTCAATACCACTATTCGTTAGTAAAAGAGTAGCCCAAGAGTTGGCAGTGCGTGGAGATTATTAGTTGCCTTCTCTCTAGTCTTTCGCTGCTAAATTAGTGACGGTTGGCACAGATAGCCCTCGTGTAGCTTTGCGCAAAACTCAAAAAAACAGACAAACACTTAGCGGCTCAAGAGGGGCCCCATTTTACGGAAATTTTTTTCACCAGAACTTTCTTGTTTTAGTATTGTATACCCATTTTAAAAGCTTTTTCAAGGAAAGAGATTCAAAAACTTAAGAACGGATGCGCGTTGAAAAGTTGCAAGACCAAGTCACTTCTCAGCTAGCTCACGTGCGGTGCACTTGCGCTGATTGGTTGTTAAGTGCAGTTCACATACAGCGTGCATGATTTGAGAAGGATACCGATGATTGTGTGCGAGTATAAATGATTTTTTGTTGTTATTTGAAGTTAAGCACAAAGCTACACATTGGGCTATCTGTGCTCTGCCCACCACGGGTATAGAAACCTGGTTTCTAGTGTTGTAAGTCCGCAGACATGCCGCTGTGCCACTCGTGGGGGGGATAAGTGACTTTTTAACAAATGTAAATTAGTATGTGTTGCAGTTCTATTTTGATTTGTAGAAATGTTGCTATTAATATATATATTTTTTAGAGGCGTGAGTGAGTGGGTGGGTCCAAAAGATTTCTGATTAGGGTCCCAATGGACTTGTACTGTTCAAGTCTAGCTGTTGGGGTTAAGGGTAAGAGTGTCAAAAGGCAGAGGCAGAACGAGAGACAAAAAGGAAGATTAAGAGACAGTCAGAACTCTGGAAATACCGATTTATATAACACAGCATAGAAAAGCCTTAATAAGGTATCCCACAAGTCCATATGTTTCATATTGTTACGACAGCAGAAGTCACGTGACGCTGCTAGCACATGCGTGACTGAGTTTCTCGAATTATCAGGAAACTCTTCGAATTTTGACGAAGCCTCTTTGTTAATATATAAGCTTGGCGAGAAAAGCCAGTGGGAATGAATTGTTGCGTCACCGTGTCACATGACTACAGTGACGCAACGTTTCTAGAATTATCATGTAATTTGGCGAATGCTCT